AATATTCTTCTCCAGCACCAAAGCTCAAAGGCACCAACTCTCCTTCTATCATCCCTAGTCATTGTTCAGCTCTCTGATGCACAGCAAGTAATTGCAAAGACCATGGCCTGTATCAGGCACACCTTAGTCTCTAGACTGATATTGTTGCTCTTCAGTACCTTAGAAAGGTCTCTGACAGCAGACTTTCCCCAATGCAATTTGTCTTTTAATTTCCTGGCTGCTGGTACCAAGAGTGCTGATTGTAGAGCCAAGCAAACTGAAGCTGTCAACAGTATCACTCTACCAGATATCAAATTAGAGAGTTCTCTGATCTGGTGGCCTCGTGGGTAATGAATTGCACAATCAACCCAAAGGCATGTGGTTCAAGCCCGCCAGAAGCTACACAGGAGAATGACAGGCAATCCCTTGAGCAATTTATTGCCTCAGAAAACCTGCAGGAGAGTCAGCTATTAGTCTCAACATCACTGTACACAACAATAGATACCTAATTGGAGGAACAGTAGGCAGGTTCTGAAGCTGAGTTCTCGAGAAAAGCAATAAGAGAAACAAAAAGGGGTTTATCACTTAGTTGTAGGGGGAGGCATGTTCCAAGCAGGTGAGGCTGGAGGCTTATCATGACTCATGTAGCTACATGGACTGATGCATCCAAGGTCAGATCAGATGATGATGAGTCGCAGTGAGAGCCCGGAGCAAGAGCACAAAAGCCATCAAGCTTTGTCACAAATCCTCATCTATATTAGATATAGGCCACACACCTGAGGAAATGAACCCTCATAACTGGTTGGCTCATCACATCACTTCATATCACGTCACTTCACATCACGTCACTTCACATCACATCACAGGGAATGGCCATATAATTTACAAACTGTCAAACCACTGAGAACCAGAGCTCAGCCAAGCCGACAGTCAACCTTCACTGGCACTGCGGTAGGAAGAACAGTGTGGTCTGTGCTACATCGTCTTAATTACTGAAGGTGTTGGACTGACTTTGGACAAAAGACTTTCTAGGCAAAGTATCATTTATATGCTATGACTTCTCCCATCCATCACTGCAAGCAGGGAGTTTCTTATTTTGTATGTTGTTGTTGTTGTTGTTGATTGCCTTCGAGTTGAGCATGACTCATAGCGACCCTATGAACAAAAGGCTTGAAGCCTCTGTACAACTGTTAACTTTTATCAAAGTTCATAGAGTTTCCGGAGGCATATTGTTTAGAAAGTGGATGCTGCTCCTGCTTCCAAATTTGCTACATAATAATTTTTCAAAAGACTTTTCTATTATACAACATTTGATCATTACATACATATTATAACTACAGAAAAGTTTATTTCTCTCACTCTCACTGCCATGGAGTTTGTTCTTACTCTAAGCAGACCGTCAAGTGAGTTTCTGAGGTTGTAAATAGTACAGAAGGAGACTGTTCACGTTTCTCCTGAGGAATGGCTGGGGGACTCGAATCTGCAAGAACGGTGCATGTAGTCTTTGAGTCAGTGGCATTCTACAGACTCTACCAGGAGGCCCTAAAGTATCGTTGTTGTTGTGTACCATCGAGTCGGAAGTGATCCATAGCTGAACCTCTAACGGGTTTTCAGAGGCAGCAAACCTCATGGCAGGATATTGTCTTTCTCCCCCGGAGCAGCTGATGGATTCAAACCAACCACATGCCTCTGGGATTGCAGCACAACTTCTTACATTTAGGCCACCAGAGCTTTCTAAAGAAAAGTATGTTGTTGTTAAGTGCTGTTGAGTCATCAGCGACTCATAGTGACTCTATGAAAGAAAGTCCTGGACACATGTATATAACTTTCGTCCTTTCTCCAGGTTCATAGGGTTTCCAGAGGCAAGCTATTATGGAAGTAGATGCCACTCCTGCTTCCAAGCTTATTTTCATAGGGGAGCTTCACCAAAAACTGTCCACCATGGTTAACAGTATTCAGCTTCACAGTCAACCACGAGTTACCTCTGTACAGCAAGCAGACATACCAGGGTTACACGACCTAGAAGAATGTTTCACCAAAAACAATTAAAGGCAAGACTGAGGGACACGAAGTAGAGTCACCCACCTTTGGCTTGGGAGCATGACTTTCTGTCCACTAGGCCAACTGCTCGTGCTCTCTCTCTGCTGTTGTTGTTAAGTGCCGTTAAGTGTTGTTAAGTGTTTCAAAGTATAGAATGGAAAATTTGAATCACCTACAATTACACAGGAGATTGGTTACATTTCTTAGAACACCCTAATAAAATAAATAGTAATTCTCACGTGTTGTGCTGTTAACTGACAAGTTGGGAATTAGAATCCACCAGTTGCTCTGTAGTAGAAAGATAGGCAGTCTCCTCCTGTAAAGATTTCTAGTATCATGATGGAGGGACATCATCAATCAGAATTGATTTGGTTTGGTTTTAAAACATAATGATGTGTTTGCAATTTAATACAGCAATTTAATAATTTCCAGTAAATTTCAAACCATTTTGATTGCTTCCTACACATCTGAAAGTTGAACAATGAAGAAAGAGTAATTGATGTCTTTGTGTTGTGGTCTTGGTGATATAAGTACAGTACATGGACTGCCAAACGTACAAACAACAAATCTGTTTTGAAGGAAGTACAACCAGTGTGCTCCTTAAAGGTAAGGATTGTGACATTCATCTCACTCACTTTGAGCATATTTTCAGAAGAAACCAATCCTTGGAGCCAGACATCATGCTGGGGAAAGTCAGCAAAAAGAGGAAGACCGTCAATGAGATGGTCACGTGGTGACTACTGCAATGGGTTTGAGCATGACAGCAATTATAAGGATAGCACAGGATAGGGCATGGCTCAGATCTGTTATTTATAGGCTTGTTATGAGTTGTAGTTGACTTAATGGCACCTAATGACAACAACAATGTGTATGCCAAGCAAAAACTTGAAAAACTGAACTATATGAAGAATGTAGCAGCATCAGGATTGGCTGAAGACTCATCAACAACCTATGTCATACATAGCAACAATAATAAGATCCAGTTCTAGTATCATTAAAATGATATCGGACTGGCACACTAACCTTAATTCACTTAACCCTTCACCTGTAGCTTTAAGCAAAACTGAAAAAAATAATTCTAAAGTTTGATTCAGGAGTCTTTATAGGAGCTAGCACTAAGCATGTGGGCATGAAAAAATTTAGTTTTGTCTAATATCTGATCATTTCTACACTACTGGTAGAGAGCTAGGAAAAGGTGTGAATTTGGATTGTAACCTTCTCTATACATATTTTATCTGTATGCCGAGAAAATCATTCTAGAAATTCAACTACATAAAGAAGAATATAACATCAGAATTAGAGACTCATCAACAATCAGTGTTATGAAGATGACACAACCCTGCTTACAGAAAGTGAAAAATACTTTAAGTACTTACTGAAGAAGATAAAAGTCTACAGTTTCAGTATGAATCACAATTAAATATCAAGAAAACAAAAATCCTCACCACTGGCAACAGGCAACACTAGTATAGATGGAGAAAATAACGAAGTTGTCAAAGATTTCATTTTACTTGCATTCACAAGAAATCAAAAGACATGTAGCATTGTGAAAATGTGTTGTCAAGGACCTTTTTTAAATGCTAAAGAGTTGTGGTGTCAGTTTTTAAAATTTGTCCCTTCATTCAGGTGCACCTAATTCTTATTTTAATTTGTTTCAGATAAATCTCAAAGTCTGACGTTGAATAAGGATAAAAGAAGAGGAATTGATGCGTTTGTTTTGTGGTGCTGTGAAGAATACGGAATATCTCATGGACTGCCAAAAGAATAAACAAGTCTGTTTTGGAGGAAGAGTGATGGGGTGACTCTTAGAGGAAAAGGTAAAGCCTTGAGGAGGGGGCAGTCTCTGGAAAAGACTGTGTAGATAAAGGTGGGAGGGTCAGAGACAGAAATAAGACCTTCAACAAGGGGGATTGACACAGTGGCTGAAACAATGGACTTGAACATGTTGACTATCATGAGGATGGTGCCGGCTTACAGCAGGGTTGTTGCTCATAGGACCACTATGAGTCTTACTCAACTCAATGGCACATTAAAACAACAAGCACAATATGCAAAGCATTTTATATTTACCTCTAATCCGGTAACAATTTTCGAAAGAGAAGAAGGTGATTCCCATTTCCTATGTGAAGATTCAGATCCTGATACATAGGAGGTGTACCCACTCAGTTCCTTCTAACTTCGAAACAACGGCTTCTTGGTCTGTAGGACAGTGAGATGGTGATGACCACCTCTGAGATTAAAGAGAAGGAGGAGGTTATGTTGGATTCTTGTGTGTGTGTGTGTGTGTGTGTGTGTTGTGTGTGTGTGCATGTGTACCGTCAAATCAGATCTGACTGGTACAGGAGGAGATTGTCCCTCCTTCCCCCCGCAGAGCATCTGGTGGGTTTGAACTGTGCGCCTCTGGGATTGTAGTTGCAGTTTCTTGCCACTAGGCCACCAGAGCTCCCCTTATGTTAGATTCTTCACTCTCATCAATGCGGTGGTTGCTGATGCGGAGAAACATTTCTTGTATATGGGTTTGCATAAAAAAGTCGTATACATTTTATTTTGTTTATACACATTGTATTTCACTTATTCTTCTATTCACATTGGGTTTCCTATTATCATTCCCATACATTGTGTTTTATAAAATTAATCTCCATTAATCTACAGGGAAACTTAAAAAAATTCAGCCCTTCATTCCAGGTTCAATTTCCTCTTTGGATTTGTGAACGGCATTAAAAACTGTGCATAATGGCTCTGGAGAATACTGATCGAGTTGAAATCTTTCAGATTATACAATTCCTCAGTATTACTAATTTTCCGTTTAGGTTGAACCATGAACTGGTTGGCCACAATAAAGATGGCGGCAGAGGCTTCAACAGGGCAACAGCGCCGCCGCTCGTCGCACTTGCGTCATTTCACTTAGTTCCGGTTGGTTAATTTTATATAACTTCCGGCGCGCCGTGGACCCGGAAGTGGAGCATGTGGGCTTTAGCAGCATGGAGGTTGGCGGCGCGCAGCCCGCAGGTGCTGCGGCGGTTGTGACGGAAGCTCGCTTTGCCCAGCGGTACAGGCAGTATCTGGAGGAGCAGCAGCTGCTCGATGGCCGGCATCGCGTGGAGAAGCTGCCGGATGGCAGGGTGGCGCTGCCCGTGCTGGGGGAGACCCTCCCGGAGCCGCACCTGCGGGAGCTGCGGGAGCGCGTGGCCCCGGGCAGCACCTGTGTCCTGACGCGGCTCCTCCGCGCTGCACCTTCCAGGAAGGCCCAGGGCTGCCCGCCTGCCCGGAGGCTGTGCCTGGAGGTGAGGCGCTGGGCAGAGGCCCGGGGTGTCACCTGGTCGCAGGAGTTGGAGGCTGACTTGCCCCGCTCGTGGCAGCGGCATGGGAACCTCCTGTTGCTGAGTGAGGACTGCTTCCAGGCCGAGCAGTGGAAACAGCTGGAACCAGAACTCTGGGAGACTGTGGCCTCGGCACTGGGCGTCCAGCGGCTGGCTAGACGAGGGCGCGTGTCCCCGAATGGCGCTCGGACGCCAGCGGTGGCTCTGCTGCTGGGTGACCACGGCTGGGTGGAGCACGTGGACAATGGGATCCGGTATAAGTTTGACGTGACTCGATGCATGTTCTCCTCCGGCAACATCAGCGAGAAGCTGCGCGTGGCCTCCCTGCCCTGTGCCGGGGAGGTGCTGGTGGACCTGTATGCGGGGATTGGTTATTTCACACTGCCGTTTCTGGTTCATGCCGGTGCCGCCTTCGTCCATGCCTGTGAGTGGAGCCCCCACGCTGTAGCTGCTCTGAGTACGAACCTGGAAATCAACGGGGTAGCTGATCGGTGCCAAATCCACTTTGGGGATAACAGGAAGCTGCAGCTCTCCAGCGTCGCGGACAGAGTGAATCTGGGACTGCTTCCCAGCTCTGAAGAAGGTTGGCCCGTGGCCTGCCAGGTGCTGCGGCAAGATGCTGGGGGCGTGTTGCATATTCACCAAAATGTGGACTCTTTCCCTGGGAAGAAGCCCCAGCTTCCTGGACGCAGTGGGTTGGAGGAAGAGAAGCAGACTTGCCTTCCACAGATTACCTCCAACCAGAAGGAAAAGCAAACTGGCAGCGATTCTAGGAGAAAAAAGCAGGCAGGGGCCATCAAGCCAGAGTGGCGGAGGTGGGCGGAATCTGCAGACGTGCGCATTGCAGCTCTTCTTCAGCAGTTGCATGGGAAACCGTGGAAGACACAGATCCTGAACATCCACCCGGTGAAATCCTACGCTCCCCACGTGGATCACGTAGTCCTCGATCTGGAGTGCCGGCCGTGCCCTCTCATCTGCTAGAGGAGGGGTTGCGGAGCACCAGGGATCCACGTATGAGTGACCCTCGGTGTATCCGGTCAGGTTGGTTCTCACCCCTCTGTCTGTTTTACCAGGATGGCCCAGAAAGCTGTTTCTGAATGCTGCTTTTCCAGTGATCATACCTTCTTGTGCACGGAGAGGCAGCGTGGCTCATTGCAGTGAGGCCCAGCAGTGCAGTCAGAGATTCCTGATTCTCACCTCTCTTCTGACCTTGGGCAGGTGTTTCTTGGATTCCTTTGTCCTTGAGTTTGTGAACGATCTCATGTGTCTGTTAAGGAAGCACCGGTGGTCAGAGGGTAAGGAGTTGTACTGCCAACCCAAAGACTGGAGGCTTGACTACACCAGTTGCTGTGAGGGAGAAAGATGGACGGCTTCCATCTGTGCAATTTAGTCTCTGTGCTAGAGGATCAGGTATGAGTCGTACCCTCTCGAGGACAATGAACAAACAACAGCAGGTCTGTTAGCTCATGGTACTCAGGGCACCAGTTATGTGAAAGGTTTAGTGCAGTATTGACAAGCTCGCTCTAGCTGCAGTATGGAGAATGAGCTAGAGGGGGCCCAGGTAGAAGCCAGGAATGGGGGCGGGGGGTGCTGCGGACCAGGATAGAGCGAGCAAACATCTTTGGGAATCTAGGCACGAGGTGATGATGGCAGTGAGGAGTTCGCAGACTTGAGAACTTAAACTGACAGAACCGATCTGTTGGCTTTCAGGACACTGAACTACTGCTGCGTTTCCTTGACTAAATTAGGGAAGGAAGGGAATAAAAACCTATATTGGGTCTGTTCCCGACTTAGCATTAAGGTGCAAGTGGTGCATACGCATAAGTGCTCTTTTTGAGCCTCAGAACAACGTTCATTGCAAGACAACTAAAAAAAAAAAGGCTGGTAGTTCAAATCCACCCAGAGATGCCTCTCAGACAGACCTGGCCACCTGCTTCTAAAAGGCCACAGCCTTGAACACCCACAGAGCACGGTTCTGCTGTACACACAGGGGCACCAAGAGTTGAAATCAGCAAACAACAAATGAGCTTGGGGACCATGTATTATGTATTTGTGTTCTCGTCGAAGAAGGGAAAAGAAGGAATCACCACCCTGATTTATAGGGAACTGGCACTCCCCAGCCCTCTCCCAAGCTTGGGCAGTTGCTGCCAATTGCAGACCCTTATAAAGACTTGGGTTCTGCATGAGTAGGTTTAAGCTTAGGGGAGATTTTGAGTATGGTGGGCTTTCATTCTGCTGTGCATAGAGCTGCTGTGAGTTGAGTTGAGCAGACCTGTCAGCACCCAGCAGCAAAAGCAAATGAAGTCTTAAGTTTTTGCAGGCCTCAGGTGACCCTTTCATTTCCTTCTCTAGCTGGCAACATAGTGAGCTGTCAGGAATAGGTGCTCCTCAGAAGTTCTTAAGACAGAATACTGTGGCTTCTGCCACCATCATGCTTTGCCATCGGGGCGATTCACTCAGAGCTGTTTGGGCATGTTTTGAAGTCCATTGGGTGTTCTTGCTTGATGCAGGAAATTGAGAAAAGTGTGGCTTTATCAGAACCATTCTGATGTTTTGTTTCCTGGTGTTGAGCTGGGCTGCTGGTCCTTTAGGGACAGTGGCATTAAGGACAGGGCTGGTGGTGTTTGTGTCAGTCACCTCTCCTCAAAACAGAATGATGGCCAGCTATGACTGGATCCAGTGTGAAGAGAAAAGCTGGAGAGAAAAGAGGTTGAATCAGGGAACCGGGGGCAAGACCTTGTGCACGAGCAGCTGATTAAACCAGTCAGTCAGTAGTTGTTGAACACCAACTGTATATAGCAGTCTGTGAGCACAGTGGAGCCTTCATGGAATTTATTTACTCTACTTGATTTGCCTCCTAGCACCTATCTTTTCTGTGTGACCTGTGGTAAGTCATGACTCTCAAGATTTCGTTTCTTCGTCTATATATTAGAGATAAAAGTTATATTCTATAAGATGGATGCTAGGTTTAACACCTGTAAAGCTGTCAGCACAATAACTATAAAATAAATCACTATTTCCTAGTTTAATTATGAAGAATTATTATCTATCTGGCTTACTCAAAGCAGGTGGTCCTTATTTTGGAAAAGCCCTTCATTGATTAAGGATGGGTTGTGTATTCTCATCAGACGCCGTGCTGGAACTTGGGGACATAAAGCCGAGACCTGCCCTTATTGAGATCACTATCTGGTGACATGGACACAGGAAACCATGTCAGTCCCCTGTACTCAGTGCTGAGATAGAAATCAGCAGTGTGTTTGTGGAGGTGGGAGCAGAGATGCTTGAGCTGAGGGGTGGGGCGAGAGTGGAAGGAACAAAGGGTCCTGTAAACAGCCTTTCCACTTAAGTGCATTAATTTACATTACAGTTTTCTCAGAGGACTTGCTGGACAATAGATGGACCTGGTCAAGAAGAGGAATCCATTGGAACCAAGGATGAGAGACTGGAGGGTTCAGGAGGCTCCGAGTCCTTGCCAGCTCAGAGCAGGGATCCGAAAGCCCAGCCTTGATGAACTTGGTGCTCGTGGCTAGTAATCACTTTCAAAACTTCAACCTCGAATGACTCTATTTCCATGATTTAAATAGTGTGCATACAGTACTGAATAAATACATGTGTACATTTTAAATACATCAATGGAAAATGATGTTTAATGTTTTAACCTAAAAATGAGACACAAACAGGAAATTCATTTCAACCTGCTCCGGCATGCACATGAGAATTCATTTCCTCCTGCTTTGGACGTTTATGAGAGAAGGAAATATGTCTGAACCACCTTGAAGCCATGTCACATTGGTAGGCTGTAAAACTAACCATTTAAAAAAAAACAATTTTTTAAGAGATTATAATTATTTTAAAGGTCTTAAAAACTGGAATTAAAAAAAAATCACCTGAACTCATTCACACATTGTTGTTGAGACAAATAGTTGGGTGGGTTCTTTTGTTGTTATGTGCCATCTAATTGGGTGGGTAGTTCTTCAGATATTTGAGATAATTTCTGTGTGACTTAACAGTTCCATTTCTACGTGTGTGTGTGTGTGTGTGTGTGTGTGTGTTTACTGTAGAGAAAGGAAATATGCTTATGTAAAAACTTCACAAATGCTCAGAGCACCATTATTTATAATGGCCAGAAAGTGAAAGTAACCAGAAAGCTATTATCAGATGAATGGATAAACAATGTGGAAAACACACAAGATAGAATATTTAGCCAGAAAAAGACTTAATGTATAAAACGTGCTACAGTGAAGATAATAGGCAGCCAGGCAAACAGTGGTTCAGGTAGACTTACTCAACTAAGGGTTGCAACAGACCTTCAGTTTGTGAGAAGGTTATCTGCAGAAAACAATGAAGCAAGTCTGCCTATATTCTAGGATGAGTTTCAAGGTCCATACTCCAGATCGTCGTAATTCTTTTTACTCCTTGCATTCTATACCATTATATTATGATAGCATATTCACTTATTCTCTTGATTTTAGTGTTTATTTCAAATAGGCTACTTAAGCTTTTCTTATTCCTATTGTAAAAATGTAAAAACTTTGTTAGGGTAGAGAGGATGTTTATTTTTTAAAATAGTTGTGGATAAAAAGTTGAATAATACAGAGGGGAGGAGCCCCAGTGGTACCAGCTGGCTTGGTGAGCTGCAACAGGCCATCTGGTCTGGGGTCCTGATGTTTGGATGAGGGTGCAGGAGAGACGAGGAAGCTGTGACACAACCAATAAATGGTGAAGTCATGATCTGGGTGCAGGCAGTGAGTGAGTAAGTAAATTCATGGATTTATATGGATTCATTCACAAGAAAAGTAAGTGTGGACAATTGTCATAAAATTAGTGAATTTCCAAAAGTAGCTTACTTTTCATTCTGCTCCTAGGAATTGTATCCGTCATTATAGTGGGCTCGGGTGGTGTGGTCCACAGGGAATTACCCTGCCAACCTAAAGGCAGTTCGAATCTAGCAGTCACTTTGCAGGAGAAAGATGGACACTCTCCCATGCAATTTACAGCTTCTGAAGGCACTCCGGAGAGTGGACTAGGAGTTCCAACTCTGTGGCAGTGACTTTGACTTAAGTCTTTGGCAATCTGATGATTTCAATCTATATTAGATTAGAGCTTTAGTTCTTAGTGAATTCTACTACCTGCTCAAAGGTTTATAAGTCTAGGTGCTGGTTGTCATGTATTTTGCTCAGACTTGTCTTTTACTAACTTTAAAAAATGTTTCACTGAAACAATGACATTTAATTAAAATTCCAATTTCCAGGCAAAGCAGCTGGAAGAATGTGGTAAAATGTATTCATTGGAAATAGATATCTAAAAAAATTGATGGACTATAAACTATATACCCAGGAAACAAAAGTGTAATCGAAAAAAAAAAAATTCAAGTTGACAGTTACGGTTGCACAACATTGTGACACAACTAATGTGAATATACTGTACAGTTAAAATAGTTGAATTGGCAAATTTTACATTATATTTTAAACAGAATAGGTTTCTTGAAAACAAGCCACCTAAGGAGACTGGTTTTATTCGAACTTTCCAGTGGGGAGTGCTCGCAGGCCGGAAGATGAGTGGTATCAGTCAGGTGACTTTGCCTGACATTTTCATATCCACTGCTGTGGGGTCAATGTGAACCCATGGTGACCTTCCATCAGGTCTCTGAAACAGATTCCAGAGGGAGATTGCCTTACCTTCCTACAGAAATGCATGTGGATTCAAACCACCCACCTTTTGGTTAGCAGCCTAACATGTAAAGCACTATGCTCCCAGAGCCCCTTTAAAGTCTTTATGGGGAGGAGTAAACAAGTTAGCTGGGTGATTTATGGTTGGGGTTTTATAAGGAGAGTCTCAGTTATCAGAACAGGAAATGCTTTTCTCTGTTAGGTACCTCTCAGGAGACACATGATTTTAATTATAGGTCAAACAGTTCTAATCCTAGCTAATAGATCTTCAGACAGAACAGGAAGTTGCAGCATCTCTATCTGGCTATCAGG